GCAAGAGGAATTTAAAAAGGAAGACTCCATCTGTATTACTTTCCAGTTTGTTGAACTGGTCCATTGTTTCTCCAAAAACAGATTCTTTTTGCCCTTTGGGTTCAGGCGTTTTTTTGGCAAAGAAACAGAGATAAAACATCGCAGACAAAACATGTGCCTTCTTGGAATTCCAGGGAAATTAAGAGTTAAGAAATGCCTCCCTTGTAGAGGTTGTTCTTTCCACTCTGTGTCCAATTTACTGATGGTGTTAGACTCCTGTCAGCTCAAAACTATATAAAAACTTTGTGTTTTTTGGTCATAACTGTGTTGGTGTTTTGAGTTTGGATGCCATAAGCTATAATTGAATCATTCCCAAGAGTTCCTGTCGACCAAGCCTGAAGTCTTCCCCTGTACCATAGCTGACCTCTTTAGCACAGTCACAAGCTGCCAACACATACTTTTATGCCAGGCCAGAGAATGAACTGCTCTTTCAAACTGTCAGAGTTTTTCAAGTATGGGAGAGTCAGATGAAGTTGTAAATTTGTTTCACCTAGTAGTTGTAGCTTAAACCATCATTAACTTTCTTGGGCCTGCCACGGTGGCCTATACCTGTAATCAGCACTTTGGGTACTTGTGGTGGAAGGATTGCTTGAGGCCAGGAGTTTGAGACCAGCCTGAGCTATGTAGTGAGACCCTTTCTCCACAAAAAAATACGAAAACATTAGCCAGGCATGGTGGCACACATAAGTAGTCCCAACTACTCAGGAGGCTGAGGTGGGAGGATCTCTTGAGCCCAGGATTTTGATGCTGCAGTGAGCTATGATCATGCTACTGCACTCTAGCCTGGGCAACAGAATGAGACCCTGTCTCAAAAAAAGAGAAGAAGAACATTCTTGGACATTTTGTCATTGGTTTATAGATAACCTTGTTTGTTTGAATCAAATAGGTTACTACTTTTTTCACTGAAGCTTTTCTTTTAGGTGTTTGAGGATTGTATGTTTGAGGACCATGTCCTAAGAATAATCCAAGTATTTTTCACTATCGTGAACTGTTATTTTTAATATATCCAATTATAAACTTATGAAATCAATGGCATGTTATCGTTACCAGTATCTTAAGTGATCATTCTATAGATGTATTTCGTGAAATTTATTACTTGCAGGCTGCTGCAACTCATGAATTATTAAAAGTATCAACATGGGGAACCCTGTCTTTCCTCATTCCAGATCCTTTTAATATGGCTTATGTTGCCCCATTTCACTGGCTTCTGTCCATCCCACTGATGGAAGCTGCAGCCAGATGAGGGTTCTTGTAAATGACTGGCTTTCTTTCCAAGCAAGAGGGGGATGAAATATCAACTTTTCCCTCTACTACCTGAAAAGCAATCAGTGGCAACCCTTCGTGCTCTTCTTGACAGCAGTTTGGCTTTGTTGAGGAGGGATGGGCACTTAGCCAAAGTGAATTTCAGTGCCTGGAAAACCTCAAGTAGCTGAAGCCCAGATAATACCAAGAATTTCCAAGAGGCATTCAAATGGGTTTAACCTGTGAGCCTTCAGTAAACGAACTGTGGCTCAGAAATTTCTAGCCTGCACGTTTTGATTTCTTCTTCCTAGTGGTGATCCATCTGAGTGACTTAAGGTTACTTACAAATCTCTCTTTGCAACAATTTGCTCCTCTGTAGGACTGGGTTTAGAAGAATAGTGCAACCATTAGCAGCTGATAACTAATTTCTATTTAAGGCCATTGAAAAGGACACTTTGCAATCAAACCTGAATTCAAGACCATTTATTAGAAGAAAATTTCTTCTCTCTTTGAAATTCTTTATTCTTATCTGTAAAATGGGAATAATACTTATTTCGCAGGATTGTTCTGAGAAATTAGTGATCTGTGTAGAAGCATTTTGTAAGTGGCATAGTGCTGTAAGACGCAAAGTGTTATTAATCATAAGACTGCTCATGTAATGCTTGTCACCTGGGAACATAAAGTTTAGAATTGGATGGGACTCTGGAGAGGAAAATTGAAAGTATAGGAGGGCATTTGGACCCAGATAGGTCCCGTCATGTATTTTCTGTTGTTTACTCGTCACAGCCTCAAAAGTAGCATTCTGTTAGTTCCATGCTCATATGCGCAGATGAAAGAAATGAGACAGATTTTGTTCAAGGCCTACCTCCTTATCACCTCAGGTTTTACATGAGGAAGTGGAAGGTTGAAGAAATATGGTGACTTTGTGTAATCTGGAGATTCTGTGCTCATCATTCCTTCTATAATACTTTCATGTTTTCATATAACTGTTTTCATCCTGCACCAACACTTAGCCCCCAAATTAAATAGGAAAACAATGGCATATAAGTAAATCAGCAGTGAAAATAAAGAGACTTTTGTCTCTGACTTTATGATGGATTAGATATGCCAAGTGACCGTCCTAAAATACTGAATGAAGTATTATAAAGCAATTTTAGCCCATGCCGAGCTGGCATGGAAACAAGGTATATACTGACCCAAATCAAAGTGAAAGTGGGTATTCTGGAAGGTGAGTGACCGAAATCAGCTTTGTGGTGGAGATCTTTGTAGAGTTTGCTGATCTGGAACTTTGACCTGATAACTGTATGAAACAGGGGACAGGGATCCAACCAAGTTGGGGAATCCCACAAGAACTTCCTAAATAAAGCTAGGAAACTAAAAGTATATTTTCAGTGAGAGGGTAAAGAAGGAGTACACCTGTCTGTATTGACTCTGGTGCTGAGGACTGCACCCACATGGGATGCGGTCCAAATTCATACTATAGTTATCATCCAAATAAACCTTAAGAAGGGAATTTAATTGAAAGTGGCTCTGAGTTGATAGGAACCAACAGAAGCAGACACAAATTCTGTCTTAAGGAACTTATTTTCAGTCCAGGTCTCAAGTGATTCTTATAAGTTTAGTGATTGAGGAAAATTAGTAACTCGTGATAAAAAAAACCCCACAAAACCATAAAGACAGACCTATAAGGACTTCCAGTTACTAGAGTAGATTATTAGATTCAAAGAAAACTATTCAGAATGTTACCCAGAGAGACAGAGAGCTGGGAATATGAAGAAGAAATGAAGCGATGTGTAAGACAGGGAGAGGGCCCAACATACATCCAATCTGAGAGAGAAGGGAGGGGGAATGGAGAGAGACCCTTTGGAAAGGATCAAGACTGAGAATTTTCCAGAATTATTCAATGACACTAGGCCTCAGATCCAGGAAGACCAGCAAACCACAAGCAGGATAAGAAAAATAAACTTATAGCTGGTAATCATAATGAAACAAGAAAAAGAGAAGATCTTAAAGCCATCTGTAGGGAGAAGACAGAGTAGTGACAGAGATATTTGGCCTGCTGTTGTGGCCCTGAGTTCGTCTCTATGACTTGGTTTCCTTGGCTATGAGAGAGTCACAGTACCTATGAATTCAGTGCATCCAAATGTGGTCAGATGCATTCCAGCTCCACCATATGGAAACTCATCTATGAGCAAATTACCCTAAGCCGTTTGCAAGAATTCTAAGTTGATAATTTACTGTCTTACTTGGTTGAGTCTGAAGCCCCGGGAGGATTTCTTACCTGGGTTTTCTCCATTTTTCATGTGTCTGTTTAATGTGTAGTCAGATTTGGCCTTCGTTGCTATTTTTGTTTTTCAGAACAATCAGTTACTATTTGAAAGCTAAATGAATTAGACATGCAGCAGCAGGCAGACAGTCTTGTCCTCAGATCTTTTCTCCTTGAGCCAAGAGATGCTGCTTGAAGACGTCAGGTCTCTGATTCTCCAGTTTCCCCAGGGCAGCGCGTGCCTGGGAGAGTGCTGTGCTGTGGGCAGTTGGGGCTACAGAGCTTTAATGGTTAAGGCAACGTGGGCTGCATTACTGATTGCCCCTTTCAGATCTCGCAGTAACGATTAACATAAATATCATCTCACCATTTTGGACAGGAGACACCACCCTTGTGCGCGTTAGTAACATGATGCTAATGCTTAACCCTTGCATTGCTTTGCTTCAAAGGCCCTGGCCAATAGCCATTGATAGGGAGTCTCTTTGAACCTAGAGGAGAAATGAAAGGGTTAACTCCTTTTGGTTTTGCCCTTTGACCACTTCAGGATGAGAGGCATGATGAAATACTTTTCAAAGTCTTCAGTGGAAACACATCATGCATAATTGGAGCAAAAAGGTATAAATCAAAGCTTTTTTTCCCCTTTTAGTCTGGTAATTCATAATTGAAACCACATTGAGGTAAAGGTTGATAACTTTCAAACAAGCAAGAAAACTGCCTTTTCTATCAAGGTAGGAATAGGTAAGACGGCTCATTACTAGAGGCTCAAAAGCTTCGCATAACAGGCCTGTCCCCTTCCCTTCCTTCCTTCTCACTTTTCTGCTTAGACAAAATGCCTTCATTTAGGTCAAATATGGGTTGACTCAACTATCTGCTGATATCTCTTATTTTCATATGAAATTATACATAATAACATTTTAAAAGTCTCTGATACGGTGGGTAACTAAGAGAATTTTGGGTCCTCCTGTATGGCAGCTTGATCTCTCCTGTGCTGCGGTTTGGTTTGGTTTAGGTTGAAATAGTCCTTCAGTTAATAGTGAAATGTGGTCTTCCTCATTCTTGATTCTACAATCCCTGAGGAGCTCCAGCAAGAGCATTTCAGAATGGCTAGCAAAGGCCATATGAATACCACCTTTCTGTTTTCTGTTTGGTAGCCTTGGCTAGAATGTCTTTGGTCAGGCTCACATAGGGCTCAACTACAAAAAAGCATAGCAGGTTTGCAGAAAGGGCCCAGACAGCTTCCCAAGTATGGGATTGCCAAAGGCACAACTGGTTGCTTGAGTGTGAATCTCTTTCCTGAAGGAGAAACCCCTTTGCACTGGTGGTTGACTTGAAGCTTAGTCTCCCAAGCCTTTTCCTTCAAAGCATCCTGAAAGCTGAGCCCACAACTCCTTCTGCCTCTTGGTCTGCACACCACCAGCTCCATACACCAGGGCTTTCCAGAATACGTGACACGATGGAGCTATTCTACAGTTGGCACCGTGACCTGACAGTTCTTGTGGCTGTTAGCGATCACTTTTATGTAATTGCAATTTAACAATGTAGGATTTCTTCCTGGAGCTTCGGTAATGAATCTGTGTTGTAGGAGTGAGAAGCAGAGTGGGAGGAGGGGCAAGAGATGCACAAGGCGCTTTGGCCACAAGCCAGTGCTTGGTCAGAATAATGCACACCACTCTTGGCATTTCCTCCCGTCTGAACGAATGTTTCATCGAGTATATTTGAAAATTGCTCACCAAGTCTTCGAAGCTGCAGCCGTGTCGATGGGCTTTGCCCCTTTCCAGCTCTCTCTGCCAAATGCCTGTTTCGTGCCCTGTCTTGCCATCATGGAGATTTAATCAGGCAACTGAGTTAATTGCCAGCATTGTTTGCCTTTTCCCTGGCAGAAGCTGGAGTCTTGAGTAAATTATGGAGGTTTAAATTTGCTGGATTTCCTGCAGAAAGTGGGGTCAAGAGGTCCCAGACTGTAGACACTCTCTTTGGTCAGCCGGCAGGGGGTTAGTTCTTAAAGGTATTTCAGAGGTGACTAAATGCCGTTTTTGAAACACCCCTCCCCAGTAACCTTTTTTCCTCTGGGGGTTAGTTTGTTGACCTTACCCTCGCGGAGTGCAGTGTCTGTGTGAAGGTCTACGCCCCAATTCAAGCTGCCTTTCTCCACACTGTCCCTGAGCTCCGAAGGCAAACAGGACTGTGTTTGAGGAGGGGAAAGCCAGTGGCACCGAAGCCTGGTTGCAGGTCAGCGTTTCCTATTTATGACCGTTTGAAATAGAACATAGAGGGAGCTGTGTTAAGTTGCCTCTAAAACAATACTCAGGAAAAGAAAGTTTCAAAAGAAACAAACAAAAGAGCTACCCTGTCACTTCTAAAAATTTCCCGTCACTCAAGGCTTTTCACAATGGGGCGTTAGCCTGCCTGCGTCTGAGTTTCTCTCCCTCTGCCCTCCGTCCTTCCTCCCTTCTCCCAGCCCTCTGTGACCTGCCCTGTCGATGGATCTTTGCACTGTCTTGCTGGCGAACCTTTGCCCAAGCCTCTCGCCTTGCCCCTTGCTCCTCTGGTCAGCCCTCTTGTTCTTGACGACCCGCTTCACTGGCGCCCTCCTCCTCTCTTCCAGGTGATTGTGTTCACTATGGAACACCTTCAGCTCCTTGTTTTCCTACTTGTGAGTTTGCATTGCATCTTTTTCCTAGCTGTCTTTCCCACCAGATTATGGGTATTTTGAAAGGAATCTTTACATCTTTAACACTGTCGCGGCCTTAGAGTAGATATTCAAGAAATGCTGACTAACTGAATGAGTACCAGAAAGAATGCTAGTGGGAATGATTGCTGAATCACTAATGCCAGTGTTTTAGCAGGCAAGAAGAATACCAGCTGAGAAGAGCTGGAAGTGTTCTGCATTTGTTTTAAACAACTGTTCACGGAGTGGAGACCTCTGTGTGGAGCCCTCTGCTAAGTGTTTGTGTGTGTAATCTCATTGACTCATCACTCCCCTAGGAGATAGGTAATACCATGAGCTCTGCTTTACAGATGAGCAAACTAATATTCACATAAGTAACTTTATACATAGTCACAAGACTAGGAAATGACAAGGCCCACGTTCAAGCCTTCCGTAAAATAGTCCTGTAAAATCATATACTTCTTCAGAACACTTAGCATAATACTTGATGAGTACTTCTCAAATGAACTAACTGGAAATCATTTCAAAACTCATAACTCCACACATGTGAGTGCATATCATCTGTTCATATCTATTCATAAGGAGGATGGTTAGAACACGGCCGGGACCATTTGGATTTAACTTACTTATTTTTTAACAGGTTTTCATTGACTAGCACTAGGCACTGTATTAAGTTCTGGGTGTTTAAGGCTCCTGCCTTCCTCAAACTTTCAGGATAGCTAAAATATAAAGAACAGGAAAAGAGAAAACCGTGGAAATAAAAACAGTGTAGTTAGAGAGAAAGAAGTGGAGAGAGAGAAACCAGGTAACCAGTACCTTAAAGCATGATGGATTTCACTTAGAACTCTTGTTCTGGAAGGGACTTCGAGGCTGGTCGGCTACCGCCCAGCCTACTTTTTAAGCCCAAAGAAATTGTTATTCACACAAGGTCACCACTGGCTACATTTATTGAATACTTGTACCTGCCAGATACTTTACATATATTACCTCCTTTACGTTAAGTCATACTGCCTAGAAAGGTAGTAGTATTATCACGATTTTATAGATGGGGAAACTGAGGTACAAGAGAAATTAAGTACCTTGCCCAGGTCACAAAGTTGGTAAGCGGAAGAGCCTGGATTCAGAGGAAGGACTTGTGATTCCAAAACTGACTCCACACATGCCAGCTCACTCTGGAAGTCATCTGCTTCAAGACTGGTGGCGTGTCCTGCAGTACAGAGCCAAGCCTGTGTCTGAGTAAATACATGCCCAGTAGTATATGTGTTGCTTCTGTGTATTATGGGAGTGTGTCGGCAGTGTTCCCATCCTCCGTAGACTTTTTTCCATCTCGGTCTATACCCCACATGCTTCCCCGGTTCCCAGGCTTGATTTGGGATACAAGTGGACAGTGTGGAAAAAGTAAAGTTACTGTCCACTTCCCAGCCAGCTATCCCTCTACCTCCCCACCAAGTGGAGCTGGAATACAGGATGGGGTCAGGCCGGGTTTCTTGCCAGAGACTCTGGCTCCTTCCCCCAGCAGCTCCTTGAAACCAGAGCTGTGGTGCCTTCCAGGGGTGCCTCGGTTTGAATGCCAAGGTGCTCGTTTTGTGAATGCAAGCTTTGCTTCTCTTGGGGAATTTTCCTCGTCTTAATGTCATAAAAGCATTTAGTGTGTTGGCATTCTCCCTTCTCCTGAAGAACAGACCTCATTCTGTCAGAGTTTTAATCGTTTTTCCTTCTGTGTGAGTGGTATATTTACCTTTTTTAATTTATGTACTCACTTGTGTCAGTGTCATATATTTGGTGTGTTTTTGTTCCGTGGACTCTCTGAAATCACAGTGTTTGGGGTGGGTTCTTGCTTATTGGCTCAGTCTTGAGCATTGTGGGCCAAGAACTTGGAGGACTTTTGTCTTAGAGAAGAGCTACAAGTGGTAAACCTGGAGTTCCCCACACTTCCACTTTCCGAAGTCTATAAAATGGTGATTTTTGCCTGAACTTGTTCTGAATGTATTTGAGGAGGGCATGGGAAGGGCTGTGAACCACTACTGTCTGGTGTTCTGAAATCAGTCTGCCTGGGCTGTGTCCCAGTTCCCTCACTTGCAGGTGATATGACCTTGAACACCATTCACTGTTTCCAATCCTACAATCTCATCATCCGTAAAATGAGAGCACTAGCTGTCTCTGGCTTGGGAGTTGTCGTGAGTCTCAAAGGAGATAACATGTGTCAAGTACCGTGCCTACCGCTTGGTAGGTGCTCAGTAAATCTTGACAGTTTCAATATCACATATTAAATTATTGTATACACTTTTTTATTTTTTTTTGAGTTGGAGTCTCACTCTGTCACCAAGACTGGAGTGCAGTGGCCGCTCCCGGCCACCGCAGCCTCCACCTGCTGGGCTCCGGCGATCCTTCCGCCTCAGCCTTCCAAGTAGCTGGAACTACAGGCGCGCGCTACCACGCCCGGCTCACTTTTGATTTTATTGTAGAGATGAGGTCTCACCAAGTTGCCCAGGCGAGTCTCGAACCCGCAGGCTCAGGCAATCCACTCCCAAAGTGCTGGGATTACAGGCTGAGCCATGAGCCCGGCTTGTATACACTTTTTTAAAAGATTTTTTTGTCTGCTTTCCATTTAAAATGGTGTTTTTCAAGTGAGCACTAGTGAGTATTGTGTTGAGAGGAGTAGGCGAGAGGGTTGGGCTTGGTGATGGCAGATAGACCGTGAAACATCCTGGGAGGTCTACAGTGCCCTTAAGTATAGGGCTACTCACTGACTCTCGTTTCCTTGAAAGGCAGGAGGGAATGAAGAAGGCAATTTGGGGGAGAAAATGCAAAAGGGTTTCTAGAAATATAAACAGATGATAGGGTACAAACACTAAAATTCAGGCACCTTCCTAAGACAGGTTAATGTCACAGTTCAATGTCATGGACACAAAGGTCAACATTGAGAAGGTGGTCTTTCCTATTGTGCCTCTTGGTTGTGAAATCTAATTATAGCATGTTGTGGACATTTTGGTTTTAATATCCTGATTACATTAGGACTCCAGGAATCCCATTCACTCTCCCTGAGTTCCCATCCCATGTGTATTCCATGTGTTTGTGTACATTTCCTATCCCGCACGGTTACATCTGGCAAACAGCTGTTGTCATATATGTGGTGATGGGTGTCCATCAGTGTTATGGGTGAGCTGATAGGGAACCTTAGGAATCCCAGAATGAAAAAGCCTTCAAGGAAGTATAAGGCAGCCAGAATAACGGAGAGGACATTTCATACCTTCTAGTAGAGACGGAGTTTGGTCCTGAGCTTTTCCCATGATAACATGAATGTGAGTATCATCATTAATACTACTCAATTGTCCATTTAAAATGGTTAAAATGGCATATTTCTTTTTATATATATTTTTAACACAGTTTTTAAAAATTAATGTAATATACCCAAAACCATTGTACTCTTTAAATGGGTGGATTGTGTGGTATATAAATTATATCCCAATAAAACTGGTAAAAAATATAAGAACATTTTAATAATCTTTTCTTAGTATCAGTGCCAAAATATTTTACTTACATCGCTGCATTGAAATTATTTAATATTTTAATGATGGCAAAGAGATTGAATTTCTTTCATTACCTTTTAAACTTTATTTTGAGAAAGTTCACACTTACAGAAAAGTTTTAAGAATTGCCCAGTGAACTCACATACTTATCACCTACATCCACACACTGTGCTTCTTTTTTGTTTTTATTTGGTCTTTTATCTTTTTTAGAATTCAGTGTGCTGGCTACTTATTCCTCAAATCTGAAAATTCATGCCTGTCACACCTTTTGTACTGAGAACCTGTTAATTCCTGGGTAGATTCACTTCTTCCATATTCTGTGTTTTCTTTTTCTGGAACCTCCTATTAAATGGATGTTGGACCGCCTAGATTTTTTCCTCTTTTCTATCCTACTTTTTATCTCTGTCTCTTTGTTCACTAGTCTGGAGTATTTTTGTCATCTTTATCTTGCAATCTTACCCTTTAAAAAAATGTTAAACTATCATGTTTTTAATGTCCAAGAGTTCTTTTACTTCTTCAATAGATCTTTTTAAACAAAAATAGAAATTTGTTTTCATTTCAAGGATGAAAAATCTTATCTCCCTGAGGACACAATTTGTTGTTGATACTGTTTTAATTTCCTTCTGCTGTTTCTAGTATCTCTGTTTCTTCTGAGTTCCTTTTTTGCTTTGTTCATTTGCTTTCTGTCACTCATGCAGAAGATGCTCTTGAAATGTCTGTGGTTCTGGAATCTGTTCATGATTAAGAGGGAGGTCCTAACAAGCTGACCAGCAGTTCTTTGTGTGAGGGCCAGCTTTCTGCCTGGAGGGGAGTGCTTTGAGCACTGAAGGGGGAAGAAGGCTCCCGCCATCCAGGAGGCATGCTTTTCATGTGTCATGTTTAACTAGAACTCTCTTCTCAGCTTCAAAAATTGTCAGCTCCTTTTTCAGTGGCACCGGAGCCCAACTTAATTAAAGGGAGTCTATGCAAATTTTGAGGAGGAGAAGACTTTGAACCATTGCTTGGCTCTAGGACTGGTTGTGATAGAAGCCACCAGGCCTGCCACAGTCAGCTGTGCAGACGAGATTGGCTAAACCACACTGTTGCAGCTGCTGCTCTGACCTGTGAATCTGTTCTCTCGCAGAAGTGGGGCAGCGTGAGCAACCCACTCTTCCTCCCGCTGATCCCACCGCAGTCTCAGGGGTTCACCGCCATCGTCCTCACCTATGACCGCGTGGAGAGCCTCTTCCGGGTCATCACTGAGGTGTCCAAGGTGCCCAGTCTATCCAAGCTGCTAGTCGTCTGGAATAATCAGAATAAGAACCCTCCAGAAGGTAAGATGACTGAGGAAGTTGTGTGCTTGGGAGAGGGCCTGGTTTGGACTTCAGTGTACCTCTCAGCTAGATTGATTTTTGGATGGCCAACTGATTCGCATCCTTTGTTTTAAATGAATTTTCCTGCTTTCTCAACAGCAATGCCATTTCTGCAGCAGCATGACCCCAGTTTTCTTAGTCTTCTCATTCTTGTAGGGTGGCCTGTCTAACTCTGAGCCCCAGCATACTCTATAGCCACAAGAGTTTGAGGGCTTAGGAATCAGTAGGATCAAAGGCCATCAGCTTAGGGAAAACAGATCTCAGCTTCCCTCAGCCATCCCAGCTGGTGTGTTTACATGAAGACTCAGTTTAAAAGGCGTTTGTTTTCTCCTTTTTTATCTCTGCTCTGATACTGTGCTCTCCTTCAAAAAAAAAAAGTATTGCCTCACCTCTGATTGGGAAAGTCAGTAGCAAAGCATACCCTGTCCAGACTTCACGTCAGTCCTTACAGGGAGCAAGCATTGGAAGCTCCCATTAGTTCATCCTTAATCACTTTGTTCCTGGCCTTGGCCACCCCTGTAATCCGCTGGCTGGCAGCTAGGGTTGAGGACTGTTTGATTAATTGGATTTGTTTTTAATTCGGGACCCATAGAGTGTGTTCCACCTGCATTTAGTTTCTCATTCACTCTGTCTATTACTGATCCTAATCCCAGGGACTTCAAAGCCTCTGCCATTTATAGCCTATTAAAGCCAGGAAGTTTCTGATGGATTAGAGCGAGGAATGAGTTTGAAGTTTGTAATGTGCACCACTGTCACCGATAAGGTCTAGTTTATGGCCTGGCAGTAGTAGCTGCACTTTTTATGGCTGGTCCCTTTTAATTGGTTATACTGAAGTTGGATAGCCAACCCTGGAGACTACTAGTGGTAGATCTGCCGTCTAGGCTGGAAGAAGACCACGACCCTGCTCTGTTAGCAAATTAGAATTTCCTCAAGAAAATCTTTTGTTTCTCCTGAGACATT